GTGTGTGTGTGTGTGTGTGTGTGTGTGTGTGTGTGTGTGTGTGTCTATAAATGGAAGGGGAGGAAGCCAGACCTGAGAACAGCTGGCTACATTCCTCTTAGATTGAGTCAGGTGTAGGTAAGGGCAAAGGAATACTTGCAAACTTGGCCAAGCTAGGAGTGCAAGGGCTTATGGGGAAGATTTCAGTCGCAAAGGTCACTGCCTCCTGCCTGATCTCCCAGTTCCTGTTCTTATCCTACTGGAATCTCTTGACACAGAAGTCAAGATTGATTTAATAATTTAGATCATATCATGATCTGCTTTCAAGTCTCCAGAGGCCTCCCACTCACCCTTAGGAGGAAACCTTCACACTTCATCATAAGAGGCCCTATCGATGGGCTCTTAGGAGAAGGAGCAGCACCCAGGAGAAGGTAGAAAGGTAGTGTTGGGGAGACAGACAGCAGTCATGCCCCGGCAGGATCCAGTCTTTCTTACTCCACCTAGCCAAATGTCCTCTAACACGCACAGGCCTGTTTCACTGCAGGAGCCTCTGCTGGAGTACCTGTCACTAGTTTGGATGTGGCTGATGTCTGTGCTCAAGCAGGGCCCTGAAGGACTGCCTACCAGGCTGTTAGGAGAGATATTGCCTACACCCTCCACTCATGCCAGACCTCTCATTCTGCTTTATTTTGAGCTGACATGTCTATTATTTTTCTGTTTATTGGTACCCCTTTCTCTACTAAATCTAAGTTCTGTGACTGTGGAGACCTTGCCTACATTTCTCTAATACCTGTACTAGTGCCTGGGGTGCAGTGAGTATTTGCTTTATAAACGAAGGCCACAGGCTTGCCACCAGCTTTCTCATGATGTCGGAAGGGGGATTCAGGGCTGTCATGGTATGGGGGGGGTATGTATTGATTTAACTTCCAGTAAATACAGTATTTACAAAACAATTTTCTAGGCATCAATTACAACAGTGAGCAACACAGACAGGGTCTTGGCTCTTGGGGTAAAAGAAAGAGGATGCCCAGGAACAGAAGAACAGAGGGCACCCTGTCTATCAAAGATGCTCAGGTGCGTGTTCTTGGCAGAGGTGCCTTTGGGATGGAGGCATGAGGAATGAGCGGGAAGGATGGAAAGGGAAATATGTGAAAAGCCTGAGGAAGGAAGGATCTCGGGTTGAAGACAAGGAGCAGGGAGCGGGAGAAAGTAGGAACACAGCATTAGGGCGACAGCAGCAACGCACATGCTGGGGGTAAGCTCCAAATTCATGTGAAGGGAAATGGGAAGTTTCTGTAGCGAACAGGCAGTATATAGTATATTTTGATTACATTTAACCTCCCCCCTGTGCTGGATAGCTTTAGTGTCAACTTGACACACCTGGGTTGAGGGAGCCTCAATCGGGGAATTGCCTCTATTGGACTGGCCTGTGGCCACGTCTGAAGGGCATCTTCTTGATGAGTGATGTGGGAGGGCCCAGCCCACTGTGGGTGGTGCCACCCCAGGGCAGGTGGGCCTGTGTTGCATAAGAAAGCAGGCTGAGCAGGGGCCAAGGGAGCAAGCCAGTAAGCAGCGTTCCTCCATGGCCTGTGCTCCAGCTCCTGCCTCCAGGTTCCTGCCCTGAGTTCCTACCTTGGGCTCCCTGATGAACTGCGTGCGACCTGGGAGATGTAAGACAAATAAACCCTTTCCTCCCCAAGTTGGTACTGGTCAGAGTGTTTTATCACAGCAATGAAGAAACAAACTAAGACACCCCCCTTATCTGCACCCCTTTAAGACTCCCTGCCTGATTTCATGTACTCAATTACATATGTTGAGTCAAATTTGTGTCCCCAAATATCCTTCAGTGTAGGTCCATCCACCTGATCAACCAACCTAGCACCAGACCCTTAAAGAAAACTGATTCTCCCTCTCCCAGCAGCTATCAGTTGCCAACAGTTCCTCAGCTAAGTTTGGGGCTTCTTACCAACTTCCTTACTTCTAGGCTGGGATTTTATCTGGCTTGAGCTTGTGTGGGTCTTGTGCATGCTGTCACCATTGCTGTGAGTTTATAT